TATATATATATGCATCAGGGTTATAAAAAAAAGATTATAAGAAGAAAAAAAGGTCAGGCACTGAATCCACGGTGAAGGGAGCTCCATGGGCCTGAAGGGACCATGGGACAAGCCTGAGAAGCAGCGTCATCCATCTGATCCACATGAACGCCGGCGTTGCAAATGTTGGCTATCGACCTCATCTGTTTCATTCCGTATTGCGACAACGACCCGCAATGCTTCTCGTACGCTCTCACCTGTCGTATTTGTATAACAAACTATGTAAATAGTGCCCAATCTCGGTCCGGTTATTCAAAACACCGGTCTGAACCAAATCCGATTCCAAACCCAAACGATTTTTCTAAAACCGAAAAATTTAAATCAAACTGAATACGTTTTCCATGTTACTAAACTCGGGTTAATGTAAAGACCTTTGAATAATGATGCCTGTATGTAGTATAGGGGTTGGGAATATTTACCATGGCTTTAAGGCAGCTCCAGTCATCGACCACCGGCTGACCAGCAGGTCGGACATGATCTAGCACCTCGGGACCTTTTTCAATGCCGAACAAGAGTTTTCCGATGAGCTTTATGCTATTGTCCACGTGCATTCTGTGAGACATCACTTCAATAACTTGCTTCTGGGACTGAACTTTCCTAACAGATCCTTCCGGTGCCTTGCGGTACTGCAAGGAACGTTAAAAAGAAACGATCAATCGTCTCAATCAGCAAATATAAAAAAATTTCTCCAACAGAAACACGATCCAAAAAGGTATATATTTCAGATGTATGCAAGTGATGAATAAGAAAGGGGAAGAACCTTATCCCAGAAATGGACAAGATCGGCGTCACGCTGGTTTGTGACTCTTGATGGTAGCGTGAGTGAATTCTCATCCATGAAAGTGAAGTTGTCATTGGCCGGGTTTGTGCCCATGTAAAGGAAGAGTTGATCCTTGCTAAGCCCTATGTCCCCATACTGCATGACATGAGATCCATAAGCAGAATCAACATTTGCAGTCCTCCTCTTGACCTGAAAAGAAACACAATCATATATTGATTTCATCAGTCATCACTTTTCAAACTCAGGAGAATCACATGTAACATACAGAATGTGAAAGAGCTTACCAGTTCATATTGCTGGTGCAAATTCTCTGTCCTTAAGTTGTGTATGTCACTGTTCATAGAATTCATAATATTAGAATCCCCATAGAAAGACTGGTAAAGAATACTAGCAATAAACTTAATGCATAGATAGAAAGTGCTATTTTTTCGTATGCTACGATTATTACTTAGTTTACCTGTCCTCCATCCAGGCAACGCTGTACAAGTCACCCAAACAAGTTTCGTATTCGGCCGGAGTACTAGGGTCCTCCCCAGGGCAATATGTGCCCCAGCTGCTTTCCTCCGCATTTGATGCGGTTGTTGCATAGATATTCATACCCTCTGGAAGAAGGCCTTCAAAGATGCTTCCAGATTCACAGGCCTCGAGATAGAATACCTGCAGGGTTTTTTTTTCAATTTTGTTTATGAATACTTTTTTTTTTCTATTCAAGAACATCCTCAAGGAAAACACTGAAGCATCACAGAGGGAAATAGTCAGTCACCAGGCTTTTGTAGGTTCCAGAAGCATGTTTTTTCTTTAGGACATCGACGAGATCTTTTCCATACAGGTAAGGAGAAGTTGGCATCCCTGAAGACAAGGATGAGGACCAACCAGAAAGAGATACAGAGGTTAATGGACGATTGCAGTGGAAAACCCATGAAAGATGATTAAAAAAACAGCTGAAACTTTTACGGGGTTTTATGCAAGTGATTCATCGACAGAAGTTAGAACTCACCAAGAACTCCGGGGCCACCGTGGTCTGTGTAGTATATGAAGATATGATCATTCGGACCACTATCCACAACCTTGCCACTGCCTCCTTTAAGGGCTGTTTTGTTTCCAAGGATCACAGCGAACAAATTATCGACGCTAACTTCATCTCCAGTGTAATCCTACCGTATAATCCAATTCAACCAAATAAGGGACGAAGCGATCGAAAAGAGAGTTCAAGAATCGAAACCGCAATCAAAAAGTGAAAGAAAACCTTGGGAACTCCCTTGTAGACATCTTCTCCATGAGGACTGTTAATAATGATTCCTGGTCTTGGGTTCTCTTCATTGTTTGCAATATCATCATACATGAAAACCACGATGTTCTCCTCTTTCAACCCACCTTTCCTTAACAGTTGATAAGCATGACAAACATCGGCCTGAAATATTGGAACTTCATAAGAAGCCTCTGACAAAAAAACTCCATGAATTTCAAATTAAACTAACCTATGCCCACCAAATTCCTTCACTTTGATGCCAAGAACCACAAGCATGGAAATCAAGCTAGAAAAAAAAATTAAATTTAACATCGACTGAAATCCTCGCCTTCTAGTTCTATAAAAATTTGCAGACTAAGAACTACTTCGCAAAGCTAAAACAGAACAATTCAGCTAAAAATTCTGGACAAGTGTTCCTAACTACCACACCATAATTCTGCATGAAAACAAAAATCGCAGAACACGCATGTATGTCCATGATGATGCATGTGAAAACGTAAAGACAGAGAAACCTAAAAACCCTAGGCGTGCAATCATACGCAAAATCGAAATCTCCAAAAGAGGAGTATTTTACAATCAAACAGAGAATCGCGTCCAAAATACCTGGTGCCTGTAATTCCAATATCCATTAGATCCGGCGACGAGAACAGCCCATCTAGTTCCGACCGTCGAATCATCGTCGCCGGAACCAGCGCTGCCGGTCGGTCTGAAGAACCTAGAAGCTTCCGACGGCAGCTTGATAACGTCACCAGGAACATCTCTTCCGCCAGAGACAGAGACGGCGGAGACGGAGAGTACGAGGACGAGAACCAGAACGGAAAATTCGCCGACGACGAGCTTCATTGCGGTTTTCCGGAGAATCTGACGTGGACAAGAATTCTTTGGGGGGCCTATTTCAATATAATGAATCTTGTTGATGGGAAAACAAAAACGGATGTTGTTTATATAAACACGCAAAATTATTGGATATTTTCAATTTTAAGCTCTAAATTTACAACAGCCCGAATCTTTTATATTGTTTCTTTTAAGCCCCCCAATATTTTTCAACGAACAATTTTGCACCTCCTCCATTTTATTATTTTTTTCCCCTTTTCATAGTTATATGTATGTAAAGAGAGAAATTTCCAAAATTGTTTATTTAAGGACGGATCTTGGACATCTAATCTATGTTTATGATCAGATTTGTGATTAGAATCGGATAAAAGCAAAAGATTAATGTAATTAGGAATTCACCCGAACATAGTTATCTAGAGATGTTAATCGGACTGGTGTGAATGTGTACTCAATCCGAGAGTTTCGTGTTCGGGCTCGAATCGGTCCGATTTTTTCGGATTAAATAACTAAATCCAAAGTTTGACCCTATAGACTTCGGACTTAGGTTTAGATCTAGCCGAGACGAGCCGACCAACTAAATTTACTCTTTGAAATTTATTTTTTTATTTTTTATTAAATTTTTTAAAAAAATTCGAGTATGAGATCGATCCGAAATCCGATCTGAACTCGATTCGAAAGTCCAAAAAAGTTTGACAATAAATATCTCAGTCCAAAATCATCTATTTTTCTGAATTAGACGGGACTGAACTTGGGATCTCAAGACTAAAATTGACACATACTACAATGATGTGAAGAACCTTTGATTTTGTTTTGATGTCAAGAGAAAAAATAGGAAATTTGCAAATGACGTCATGCATTACGTCATATGTTCTCGGTGGCATCATGGATGTTTGGTTATCTTGTATAGGAGTTTTAGCGTTAGTCATTGCAAGCTCTTTTCTCTGTCACAAGACAAATGAATTTTAGATGCTCATGACAAAATGCCAGTCATAAAATATACTTTATTTTCTCTTTATGAATTTCGTAATAACACGGTGCCATAGAATCGAGATTTTGTTTTTTTTTATTATATTATAAAATATTAGAAATTGATAAATATGAAAATGATTTTTACATAAATATCATCCAACAATAACACAAAAACATTAAAGGAGATGATAAGATCTATTATCCAATAACACTAAACTTTGGACCATTTAAAACTCAATAACCCCATCTTAAACAGCAGGCTATAAAAAACTAGTGTGTGTTATTATAAGTACTTGCTGACCAGAAGAGCTTTTTAAGTGCTGTAATTGGTAGGTCCTAAATGCAAAGTTCTTAATCTTTATGGCCTAAAATAGAAATTCAACAAATATTCAAGCACTATTTCGGAATAAAAATCTAATTGGTTCAACTTGAATATTCATTTTTTGTCATCAAGCTCAAAAGCATTGGGGGACCATATTGAGCCAATCAAGAAATAAGGGATAAAAATAATAATCTCTGTTTTCCCAGTTATCTTATCTTTTAAATTGGTGGGTCCCATCTCTTAAAAAGGAGGAAAAAATTGCTTAAATTTCCAAATAGAAAAGGAAATATTTATAAAAAAAAAAACATTATAATTTTGGGGGAAACTAATTTATTTGAAATATTTATCTATAATAGAATTTTAAATTCGTATATGATAACGATGAATATCTAAATATGTCACAGTCGACACCACCTTTAGAGTATCCACTTGCATTACCAACCGTTATCGTTGGCACAGAAATTGACGGTTAAGTTGATAAGGACCATATGTCTATAAATAAGTCCAACTAAAAAGTTACTGTCTAAATTTAATTGATTTTCTGTTTATTTTATAAATTTATATTTAAAAACTTTATAATTCTAATATGAATCAAGTATTCCATCAATCCCATCCAAAAATTTTGATATTCGGATAATATAAATTGAATTAGAATAATACAAATTTAATACCCAGAGTTTGGATTTTTGTTTCAAATGTAATATGTGTGATCGTCCCAATACAATTAGAAAATATTCATCGTGTTTATTAAAATTTATAAAATTATTTTTATATTACTTTAAGAATTGAAATTATCTTTGATATTCTTAAAAACAATAAAATTCGTCTTATATTTATTAATCGTTATGTAACTACTTTTACAAAATTTGGATAAGAGTTCGGTTGATATCCGGATTTTTTTTTTTTTGAATACCCAAATGATGAGATCCAAAACATACAAATGAAAAAATCGAATTCAAATCTTTATATCCAAAAAATACCCGAATATAGATTTGAATCTCTTTACATATTTGCAATTTGATACATTGTGCCACATGCATGTCATCAATGTTACGAGGAAAAAAAGTATATGATTAATTATTTTTTAGTTTTTTTTTCTAAAATATTTGTTGATGGGAATGATTAATCTACACGCAAGAACCGGCAGGGAAAGCAATGTATCAGTATAAGTCAATTTAATCGGTGGCGTATGTTTTATATTTGACTAAAACGACAAAATATATCGGTTTACTTTACCAATTTTGAAATGTCTAATTAGTTAATTCTAGTTTGGTTTGACAAATATTAAATACAATTAAAATTTATATAAGTTTTAAATGGATTAAAAATTTCTCTTTATGTCTATAAATTTGTGTTGATTGAGCTCACGTTAAATTCAATTCCAATGATTTATACTATCATAAGTTTAAAAAAAAAGTAAACAGAAATAAATCCAAAATATATTCAATTTATATCGACTAAATTTAAATTAGATTGCACTTAATTCTAAATTTCTTTCCCTTGAATTTGGGAAGGTCGGTTATTATATCCTAGATTAAGAAAATGCCTCGAATTCCTTTTTTTTTACCATTACAAAAAATTGACAGTTCTTCTATTTCTAGAGTAATATAATACATAATTTTAAAAATATATACTCAGTAAATATTGGAGTAGATAATAAGAGTAAATTGATTATTAGCCTATGGATAGTAGTCTTATTATATCGCAATAGAATTGGAAAGCAATATAAATACTATGTTTTATCAAAAGTCTCGTAAAGTTATTCCCCGGTCACCAACGCCCAACAATATTGATTGGTGCTGCATTGATTGATTGTGTTTTTGTTTTATAATTTTGATTTTATATATAAAAAAAATATTTCTCATCCATTTTTTTGGTATTTGGGTCCCATTTTTATTTAAAATATTTATTCTCAAATATATTTTCCTTTTAATTTATGTTAATTATTTTTCATATTTGATTTAGATTCAAAATTAATTAAATTTTAGAAAAATTGTATATTGACTAGATTTGTTACACACACACACACACATATATATATATATATATATGACAACACGAGAGTTTTACAAAACAAAAGCAAAAAGAAAAGCATATATCTCTTTTTTTTTTTCCTATTTTGCATGAATTTCTTGTTTTATGTATGCATGACCTCATCTCATCTCCATGAATAAGTTATTAAGAATTCAAAAGGCATGCATGTACTCACAATAACGTCACGAAATATTATGATGCTATCTGTCTCACCAGTCACATCATCATCACTATTATTATTATTATAAATTATTATTATTATTCAACAGCAGTAGTATCGTAAAAACAAGAATATATTAACTATGAGATTTGTTTTTCACAGTATTTAAATAATCATATAAATTTATGATAAAACATTTGTTTTCTGTGTAAATCCCATATATAGCCGGTATATTTCCTACATATGACAACATTTTTTTTTTTGCAAAAACTAATATATTAAAGAACAATTTAAAACTCAATATTTCACCCAACTAATCTCAAATTTGCATACAAACAAATTTCAGAAATATTTACGGAATAATTCTAACAAAAAATTCGTTGCATATACATACACGCCCTCACACAACACACAAGTGGATCATACATATATATATATATATATTAAGTGTGACAATAAGTTACATGGATGTTGATTGCTTCTGGTTCAAAGAGAGACACACAGCGGATATGTCGTCAACTTTGGCCGCCGGAAACTTCATCTTCCACGCCTCAGCCGCCGCTTTAGCCACCGCATTGGCCGCCACCTTTTCGCTCTCGGCTGCCACCACAACCGTCGCTACTTCTTCGTTGCTAAGAACATCCCACACCTACAAATAAAACTTGCAAATTATATTAACTAATCATAATTCAATCATATATATATACACAAAATATTGTTCTCTTGCAAAAAAATATATTATATATTTTTCTGAAATGATATTTTCTTTTTGAATTTTGGATTTTTATTTGGGTGGCCTATAATTCAAGATATGATAAATATTAAATAATGCAGAAACCGATGAAAGGGTAGTACAAAGTCTCATCCAACTTGGGCACACTTGGCAAGTGTCCTAAATGCATTATTGATATATATAGATAAGGGAAGACTTGCCATGTTGAACTTTTGGAACCCAAATTGTTAGCTGTCTTAATTAAAGTTATATATATACATATATTGGTAAATGTAATTTTAGAAGATAATTAAATATCTTGAATCAAAATTCATATCGATCATTGGATCCGAAGGGTGGATTCTATCTTTTGGATCTGTGACCGATATATACGATAAAACGAATAACATAGAACAGGGTAAGTAAACATATATACCCCATCGGAAGCAAGAACCAAGAATCGATCGTCGGAAGTGATACGATGCGTAAAGACCTCGGGGAATTGGATAACGCCGTAGTTTTTTAGGACAAAATCGCCTAATGCTCGAGACATTGCCAGTCCCGGATAGTCTTTGAAAGGCAACCACACTCTGTGGACGTTAGGTTCTGCTTCAAGGGCTAAAACCCTGCCGTTGCTTTTCCTTATTCTCTCTGCTTCACCTGCGTTTTAATCAATTCAAGGCACTATTCCCATTAAACCGGATTTAACCGATGTTTATGTAACCGGAAAAAGAGAGAAAAGTTTTACTGGGGACACTTGGCTTGAGATCATTGGTCAATTGAAGTGCCCTTGCGTCTTCGTTCTCATTGGTTCCCGCCATCACCATCACAGCCCTTGAGTCACCCAAATTGGCTATCATCAATTCTTCTCCCTTTTCCAATTTTCCCATTATAATTGTTATTATTACACTGATTAATCGTACATAAATAGGATGGCCGGACCTTTAAATTTAAAATTAGTATTTTTATAGTCAAACGTTCTTTATCATCAAAGATGTATGACGACGTTTTAAAAAGAACTAATATTTTTCAGACCATCAAAATATATATATATATATATATATATATATATATATATATATATATATGTATATA